GGGCACAAAACAAGCCTCAGCAAATGAAAGAAGACTGAAATAGTATCGAATCTCTTTTGACCACAATGCCATGAAACCAGAAATAAATAGGAACAGGAATTTTGGAAAATTCACAGATACATAGAAATTAAACAACATGCCCTGAACAACAAATGAGTCAATGAAGAAATTAAAAGGAAAATTTTTAAAATATCTTGAAACAAACTAAAATGGAAATACAATATACCAAAACTTGTGGGATACAACAAAAGCAGTTCTAAAGTAAAATTTACAGCAATAAATTCCTAGATAAAAAAAGAAGAAACATCTCAAATAATTAACCTAATGTTACACCTAAAGGAAGTAGAAAAAGAAAAAACTAAGTGCAAAGTTAGCAAAAACAAAAGGAAATATTAAAAATCAACGCGGAAATAAATGAAAGGCCAGTCATGGTTGCTCATGCCTATAATCCTAGCACTTTGGGGGGCTGAAGCAGGCAGATCACTTGAGGTAAGGAGTGCAAGACCAGCCTGACCAACATTGTGAAACCCTGTCTCTACTAAAAAGACAAAAGTTACCTAGTGTGGTGGCACACGCCTGTCATCCCAGCTACTCCGGAGGCAGAGGCAGGAGAATCACTTGAATCTGCGAGGTGGAGGTTGCAGTGAGCCGAGGTCACACCACTATCCACCACTTTCCTTCTGATGCATCACTAATTACTTTAAACCTAAGTGGATTAAACTCTCCAATCAAAAGATAGAGATTAGCAGAAAAATGAGAAAACATAATCGAACTATCTGCTCTATATAAGAAATTCACTTAAGACCCAAAGACACAAATACATTGAAAGTAAAAGAATGAAAAAGATATTCCATACAAATGGTAACCAGAAGAGACCAGCCATAGCTATATTAATATGAGATAAAACAGACTTTAAACTAAAAAAAAATTATGAGATAATAAAAGCTTCAATACATCAAGAAGATACAATAATTACAAATTTTTTTTGCATATAACAGGTCATCAAAACATATGAAGCAAAAATTGGCAGAATAGAAGGGAGAAATAGTTCTACAATATTAGTTGAAGAATACCCCACATTGAATAATGAATAGAATAACCAAACAGAAGATAAGTAAGGAAACAGAGAATTTGAACAACACAATAAACCATCTAGATCTAACAGGCTTATACAGAATATACTATGCAACAGGAAAAAAAGTACACACTCTTCTCAGGGACACACAGGACACTCTCCAGAAAAGATCATACTCTGGGTCACAAAACAAGTCTTAATAAATTTTAAAAGACTGAAATCATGCCAAGTATCTTCTCTTACCACAGTGGAATGAAACCGGAAATCAATGACAAAATGAAAACTGGAAAATTCATTAATGGATAGAAATTAAATAACACACTCTTGAAAAACTAATGTGTCAAAGAAAAAAATAACAAGGAAAATTACAATGTATCTTTAGACAAATGAAATCAAAAGTACAAGACACCAAAACTTACGAGATATGGCAAAAAGTTGTACTAAGAAGTTTACAGAGATAAATGTTTACACTAAAAAAAAAAAAAGAAAAAGAAGAAGAACGATCTCAAATCAGCAACCTAACTTTACAACTTAAGGAACTAAAAAAAAGAGCAAATTAAATCCAAAACTAGCAGGCAGAAAAAATAAAGATTAGAACAGATATAGAGGAAATGAGAAAAGAAATATAATAGAGAAAAACAACGAAATCACAAGTTAGTTCTTCAAAATGATCAACAAAATTGGCAAACCTTTAGGTGGATGGACTAAGAAAAAAGAAAGAAACAAGACTCAAATTACTAACATCAGAAATGAAAGTGGGGACATAACTACTGATTCTACGGATATAAAAAGGATTATAAGAAAGTACTATGTACTACATGCCAGCAAATTGGATACCCGAGATGAAATAGAAAATTCCTAGAAACACAAAACCTACCAATACTAAATTATGAAGAAATAGAAAATCTGAATAGGTCTATAACTAATGAGGAGGTTGAATCAGTAATCAAGAATCTCCCAATTAAAAACAAAACAAAACAAAAAAGCCAAGGATGTGATAGCCTCGCTGCTAAATTCTACCATTTAAAAACTAACCCCACTACTTCTCAAGTATTTCCAAATAAAGTTTTAAAATCTGATTCATCCTATGAGGCCAGCATTACCCCCAATACCAATGCCATACAAAGACACTACAAGAAAAGAAAATTACAGACCAGTATCTCTCATGAACACTGATACAAGAATCCTCCAAAAAAATGATAACAAACTGAATTTATTAGATTAAAAAGGTTATACACCATCCTCAAGTGATATTTATTCCTGGAATACAAGGAGGAATTTTAAAAAATCAATCAGTGTAATACATAACATTAACAGAATGATGGCAAAAAACACAAACATTGCAATTGATGAAGTAAAAGCATTTGACAAAAGTCAATATCCTTTCATGATAAAAGCACTCAACAAACTAGGAATACAAGAAAACTATCCTCAATATGATAAAAATCGTATGTGAAAAACCTACAATGAACATCATACACAATAGTGAAAGGCTAAAAGCTTTTGTCTAAGATTAGAAATAGGCAAGTATGCCCACTTTCACCACTTCATTCAACATAGTACTGGAAGTTCTAGTCAGAGCAATTAGGTTAGAAAAAGAAATAAATGGCATCCAATTTGGAAAGTAAGAAGTAAAATTATCCCTTTTTCAGATTATATGACTTTATATGTAGAAAATCCTAAAGACTCCATCCCCCCACCACCACACACACACACACACACAAATTGTTAGAATAAACAAATTCAGCAAAGTGGCAACATGCAAAGTCAACACAAAAATATCAGTTGCATTTCTATACCTATACCGTAACAACGTTTAATCCAAAAAGGAAATTAAAGAAACGACGCCATTAAAGCATCAAAAGAATAAAGCACTTAGGAATTAACGTAACCAAGAATGTAGAAGACTTATGCAATGAAAACTATAACACATTTCTGAATCAAATTAAAGAAAACGTAAATAAATGGAAAGATGTCCCACGTTCATGTGCTGGAAGACTTAATATTGTTAAGATATCTATACTACCGCAAACAATTCACAGATTCAGTGCAATCCCTACCGAAATCCCAATGATGAATTTGCAGAAGTAGAAAAACCCATACTAAAATCTACATGTAATCTCAAGGGACCCCAAATAGCCAAAACAATTCTGAAAAAGAAGAACAAACCAGGAGGACTCACTTTTTGATTTCAAAACTTACTACAAAACAAGAGTGATTAAAATAGTGTGCTACTGACATAAAGACAGACATATGCACCAATGGAATAGAATAGAGAGCCAAGAAATGAACTCATGCATATGTGGTCAAATAATTTTTGACAACAGTGCAAAGACCATTCAATAGGGAAAGGATAGTTTTTTCAACAAATGGAACTGGGAAAACTGAATATCCGCATGCAAAAGAATGACACTGGACCCTATTAAAAATTAATTCAAAATGGATCTATGGCCTATATGCAATTCTTAAAATTATAAAAATCTTAGAGAAGACAACATAGGGCAAAAGCTTCTCGACAATGAATTTGGCATTGATTTCTTAGATATGACATCAAAGGTACACGCAACCAAAATATGACAAATTAGACTTCATGAAAATTTAAAACTTTGTGCATCAAAAGTAAAAAGGAGACTCATAAAATGGAAGTAATCATTTGCAAATCATATATATAATAAGGGGTTCATACACAAACTATATAGAAAACTCCTAAAACTCAACAACAACAACAACAACAAAAAATAACCTAATTTGAAAATGAGCAAAGAACTTGGACATTTCTCCAAAGAAGTATACAAACTTCTTTTCATGGCTACTAAGCACATGAAAAGATGCCCAGCATCACTAAAGAGGAGTCCAGATGGTTTGGACTTCTAGCAACAACCAAAAAAAAAAAAAAAAAAACACTCACTCACCGATAAAAAAGCTTTACAGTCTTCAGACATAACTCCTAAAATTCAACAGGAGTTACATGTGAAGACTGCTAACCAATGAAAGAGAAGAAATAAAATAATTTTTTTCTTGATATCCTGAAACTTCCATGTAAATAGTTTAAAAATAATCAAGTCAAGACTGGCCTAGAAAGGAAGGTATTCCTAATTTACGTGAGGTTCTAAAACAATCAGCTGAAGTGTAAACCCATGGATCAAGGTCTGACTTCCCCTAGACCTTGGTGTGGATGTCAGAAAGAGAATAGCTCTGGGGCTCTTACCTGTGCCTGTCATTTGGAGACGACCCTGAAGCACACTGCGCTGGGCAGAGAAACCCCTAAGAAAAGAGATGGTCCTTTACTTCTGCACAAAGGCTAACATGGCCCCTGACGCTGTGTGCTGGTTCCATAAATGTTGAACGAGTCACCAAAAACCGCATCTCCGCAAAAAAAAAAACCCTGGAGGTCTTTGTCACCAAGGAAAGTGGCTTTTTTTCTTTTTCTTTTCTTTTCTTTTTTCTTTTTTTTTTTTTTTTTTTTTGATTTTGAGACGGAATCTCGCAATGGCGCGATCTCGGCTCACTGCAACTTCCGCCTTCCGGGTTCAAGCGAGTCCCCTGCCTCAGCCTCCGGAGTAGCTGGGATTAGGGGTGCGCGCCACCACGCCCGGCTAATTTTTGTATTTGTTTAGTAGAGACAGGGTTTCAACATATTGGCCAGGCTGGTTTCGAACTCCTGATCTCAGGCGATACACCCGCCTGGGCCTCCCAAAATGCTGGGATTACAGGCGTGAGACACCGCGCCTGGCCGGAAAGGGGCTATTTTAAGAAGACCCAGAACATGTTTCGCCGGGTCGCATTATTCTGCATGACGAGGCTCACAGAGGAGAACCCCACCCTTACTCCAAAGGCCTTTGACAGCAGCTCTGGAAAGGGCAGGGTTTGCTTCACCTTCTGCCCAACGTCTCCCCAGGCTGCCCGTGCCACCTTCCGGTCTCACCTCCTCGGAGTTCGGGTCAAACGCGGAGCTCCAGTTTCTCAGCCCCTCCTGGAGCTCAGTGATGTCCACCACGCCGTCCCCATTGCGGTCCAGGTCTTCGAAAAGGATCCCGTAGCGTAAGTAGTCTTCGTCATCCTGGCAAGCCACCGCCTCCAGCACGAAGCCCTGTATCCAGAGCAGCATGGCTGGGTCCAGAGGCTGCGGGGACCACTAGGCCACCCCGCCCGCACCGCGGCACTCGCCGCCGCCTCCTCGACGCCTGGCTGCGCAAACCAGGGGGTCCCGGCTGTCAGCCAGCTTCTGCAACTGTCTGGCGGAGCCGCTGCAGTTCGGAGCCCACGCGGGCCCAGCCACCCGCGCCTGCGGGCTCTCGGGGCCACGGAGAGGCGGCGCCACCTTGTGGGACCTCTGGCCGAGGCGCCACGCGACATCTGAGGCGCCAGGTGTGAGGTGAGGTGCCAGACATGAGTTGAGTAGCCAGACGTGGTCGCGTTGGGTACCCAGGGCCCTTGGACGGGTGGTCGACAGGGGAGCCGAGGGACGTTTGGGGAAAGGGAGCGCGTTCCCCAGCAGGCTCGAAAGGGCACTCGCGGGTGTGAGATTCTCGCGATGCAGACTCAGTGCCTGCCGGAAGTCACTGCTGCCGTGGGAGATGTGGCCAGGAGTGAGCCGCTCAGACGCGCTCTTATGCCAGCGTCCAGTACTCTGGTGCCATCCTTCCTCCCAGGAGGACCTGCACCTAGAGGTCAGGACCCCCGCGACCCCGCAAAAGAGGTCTAAAGAGGAAAGGCCTCCTGAGGAGCCTCTGCCCTATCCCTGTCTCTCTCTTCCCTCCTTGCCTGCCGAGCCCATGTTGGCAAACCTATTTTGGCCATAGTGGGATTAGACTTTTCATGTTTTTATGTAACCTTTTTCCAGTTAATTGGGTTGTGTGCAGAAATACTTCTATCTCTATTAATAAACGAAAGATAAAAATAAATAATAAAGGTAAGATACATACGATTAAACTAGAACATTTCTCCAAATCCAGAAATATGAAACACACATCATAACAGTTCCAATTTGTATGCCACATTTCTATTCATAAATTTTGTTCTAAAATAGAGAGAAAAAGTAAATAGCAAAATACTTTCAAGTAGATCTGAAGCATTCAAAGTATCTTTGGTATGCATTTCTTTTAAATCAATCTCTGATTTTTATTATCTATAGGGCTATTAAGGGATCCAGTTCCCATTTATTTTTCCTCTATATTTTAGAATAGAAGTTCAAATAAACAAATTTAATTTCTAATTGCTTGTTAACTATGAGTCATGATAACATACTAATTTATCAAGATGTGCTTTATATTAGTCACATTTATGTAAACTGTATGAGTTCATTATATATGTTTCATATCTTTCTATTAATCCTATTAAGAAAAAAACGGATAATTTGTCTGAAAATTGACTTTAGTTACTCAAATTTATGTTAATTGTGCGTTTATATTCATTTCAATTTTTAGAAAATGTAACAACTTAATTCCATCATTAATAGTTTATTAAGTACCCTATCCCAACCTGAGAAAGTTGAATTTCTCTAATGTCACAGCAAATTCAAACGTGGCATTTAACAAGAGGGAAAAAGATTATATCAAATATTCTTCTGAATTTTAACACTTTACAGTGAGAGCAGATTTTAACTACATTTTAATAACCTTGAGAAGTATGATACAACCCCAAATATTAAAGTAATCAAAATCTTTAATTTATAAAATGGCAGAAAATTCTGTGCCCTGAAAAACTGGAAAAATTGACTGATCTAATGTATTACTGGTTGTTTGGTATATTATAAATTATATCATTATAGTTAAATTTATTAAATCACAATTTTAAAACGCATCTAATCTTTATAATGTAGCTATACATAGACATCTTAAAATATCTTTGGCCTGGTCTCTTTCAACATAAATTGAAAAGATAGAGGCAAAAAAGGAGGGATGGAGAAGAATACTATTCATATAAGTTTAAGACTGTAAAGGGAAGTTCCAGTCAGCCTTTCTTTATTCTAGTAGATCGGAGCTTGAAAGTAAAATATAAAGTACATAGAGAAAAAAAGAAAAACCCAGTCTTTTTAAACACAAATTTAAGTATAAGAGCTCACACATTTTTCTGAATTACTTTGGTTACATTGGTGACTTTCTTGTAATTATTCCATTCACAACACTGGTAGGAGACTGAGGTATTCTGATGCCATGAAATTGTATTTAGGGCTTTCTATTTTGTTTTGTTTATTTTAGAGAAGGAAAAGGAGCCCCAACTCGACTGTTTTGCTGTGAATTATAGTTTTCAATGCTTGAGTTTTCTATTAGTACTTTCAAATATTTTAAATATACACATATGGCAAGAAGAGGTGAAAAAATAAATTTAAAATGCACATAAAGCACTAAAATATTAGCTTTTAAAATACAAAGTAGAGAATTCAGAAAAGCTTCAAAATATTCTAACTCTTTAATATGAAATTATACTAGGTTAATTATATAATCAGGTTATATTCTGTATTATAAATTGCATTTTAATTCACATAAATGCAAATTTCTCTGACTGTTATCGTTAACATTTGGAAAAATATAAATAGATTTTATGAATATTGCAGATTTTAATTCACCAAGAAATTAATAAACTGTATTTCTGGTTTACTTAAAATTCAATATTTAAGTCTAATTTGTATGTTTACCTTTTGGGAAAATGGATATAGCATCTTTTCATACAGACCTTGTGCAAATTAAGGAAAAAGCCAAGACATTTTCATATTTCTAAACAAGTGTCCAGATAATGACTGTTCAAAATTTCATTTCTATATTTTATTTTTGAGATGGAGTTTCACTCTTGTTGCCCAGACTGGAGTGCAATGGCACAATCTTGGCTCACCGCAACCTCTGCCTCCTGGGTTCAAGTGATTCTCCTGCCTCAGCCTCCTGAGTAGCTGAGATTACAGGCGTGCGCCACCACCCGCTTAATTTTGTATTTTTAGTAGAGACAGAGTTTCTCCATGTTGGTCAGGCTGGTCTCGAACTCCTGACCTCAGGTAATCCACCCACCTCGGCCTTCCAAAGTGCTGAGATTACAGGTGTGAGCCACCACGCCCAGTCTCAAGATTTCATTTCTAAAATATTCCCAAGAGCAGTTTTGCTGATTCATAAACCACACAGTTTATAACACACTGACATAAGAAACTTTAAGGAACTTGGAGTCACGCCTCTGGAAAACCCTGTCACTCCACTCCTTTTATAAATTTGAGAAAATAAGCTGATCATATTTAGCTGTGGGACTCATATCATGGCTAGAGAATGCAAAGGAAGGGAAAAGACCAATTAATTTGATATTTTAGCTTTCTTAAATGTTAAGTTAAAACATGCTAAAACAGATAATAAAATAAAATTAAATAAATTATTGCACAAGGATCCCCAAGGGAAAATCTCTAGTTAATTATAGTTTATAGTCAGAGGCTCTCATGGAACTATTTGATGATCATCACTATTTATTTTTCCTTCCTTTTAGGAACAAAGTCTGTCCACTAATAGTGAAATCTACTTATGATTATTGTGGAGTTACAATTTAAAAAATTCTCTAGACATACACAGGTACCTTCATTCAACCTCTCATGTCTTAAGAACGTCTCAAACTCAAAAACAACAAAAAATATATGTATGTTTCTCATTCTGTGTTTCACTTTTCAGGGAATGACTGCACCATTCATATAGCTTCTGCAACTGAAAACGTAGAAGGTATCCATGACATTTCCCTTTTAATCGCAGTTTATAACTAGATATTTGTATACATTTTTAATTAATTTCTATCTTCCCTACTAGACTATCAATTCTATAACAGCAGGGTCTCTTTTTGCTCACCCAAATACCATGTGCTTGGCTTGTTGCACAGTACATGGCTACCTTAAATTCTCAGATTACAATAGCTAGTATTTTTCTCTCTAATCTTTATATTATCCTAGTATTTTTCTCTCTAATCTTTATATTATGTTCCCAAAATTGATGTAGCTAAATAGAGTAAAATCAAGACAATTGAAAAGTAAGTCTTTCACTGTTCGTTTTAGTCTAAACATTCTGTTTCCCCCTCCCGCCCACCCCTACAAGAAATTAAATAACTCCTCTAAAATGTAGAGAAGATCCCTTGAAAATTTAGAAAATATTACTTGCCATGGAATTTCTTGGAAAATGTTCTGTTGCTGTATGCATCTTTTTGTTTTTTTAATCAGAAACTAATAACATCCCCTCCAGTTTTTATAGTTTTGTAATGAAATTGGAAACTTCTTACTTTTTTCTACTGTTGAATTTACTTTGCCCATTGATTTTCTCCCAACTTATTATGAAAACTGTAAACTCTAGAAAGGATAGCACAATGAACATTTATATATTCACCACCTATAAAATGCAACATTTTGCCGTAATTACATTTTGTCTCTCTCCATTCTACTTAAACATGTATATAAATGTGTGTGTGTCTATCTGAGCCATTTGAAAGTAAGTTACAGATATGATGACACTTAACCATAAAGTACTTGGACATATCCTAAAAACAAGGACATTAGCTTACGTAACCACAATGCCATGATGATATTTGAGAAATTTAAAAATAATTCTCTATTACTTGAGATGCTAAGGCAGGAGGATCACTTGAGCTCAGGAGTTTGAAGCCAGCCTGGGCAACATAGCAAGGTCCTGTCTCTTTAAAAATAAATGAATAAATAAACAAACAAACAAATAAATAACCTCTATACCATCAATACTTATTCTATATTCAGATTTTCCCAATTGTCCCCAAAAATGCCATTTACAGATTTTTTTCAAACTAATATCCAAATAAATTTACCCATTGCCCTTATAATGTTTATTCTCTTAATCAAGACTGGTACCAGTCCACCACCAATACTGTTTTTCCCACAACAATGACTTTTTGAAGAACCCAGCCCAACTGTCTTATAGAATATTCCACAATCATGATTTGTTTGATTGTTTCTTAATGGTATTATTTAACTTGTTCCTCCATCGCCTGTATTTTCTACAGTTCTAAAGACATGGTCAGATTGTAGTAAAAAACAATTTGAGCAAAAATACTTCATAGGAGAGGCTGTGCAATTTACTGTCTCCTCAGTTTAATAACATCTTTGTTTTCTTTCTCAAATAGTTACCATATGTCCAGTAACATGGACCCTATTCACCTACGCTGAAATTTGTTAAATATCTAAGGAAAAAAACAGGGTGAATGAAGTTCTTATGTCAGTGTACTTTTCTTCTCTTTGTTTTGCTTGCATTGTTTGCTGTCCCGTTGTTTGCCCTCCCATAACTTGAAGCAGTGACTTTCTTTCTTATTACAAGCAGTAAGGAAGGACATCTTATAATAATAAAAAGGTCAATCCTAAATTTGTGTGTACATAATAATACAGCTTCAAAATATATAAAGCTAAAGTGGCAAATGTAGAGGAGTGATAGAGAAATCTGCAATCATGGTTAGAGATATAAACGTGGTTAGAGATTTACCTTTTTCAGTAGCCAGTAAGAAAAGCAGACAAAAAAATTAATAATAATCTAAAACATTTGATAACACATTTAACTAATTGATCTTATAGAACACATATATAGAACACAAAATACAACTTCAAAATCCATTTATTTCAAAGAACAGAAATCATACAGAGCACATTCTGATGGCAGTGCAATTAAAACGTGAGTTCACCATCAGGAAGATAATTGGAAAAATCCCCAAATGTTTGTAAATTAAGCAAGATATTGCTACATAACTGATGGGTCAAAAAGAAATCACGATGGAAACTGGACATTTTGAAATGAACAATAATGAAAACAGTACATACCAAAATTTATTGAGTGTAGGGAAAGCAGTACTTAGAGGGAAATTAAAACTTTAAATTAATATACTAGAAAAGAAAAAAAAAAGTCAATTATTTAAGCCAGGAATTAGCAACCTTTTTCTGTAACTGTCCAGAGAGTGAATATTTTAGGCTCTGCAGACCATGTGATCTCTCGCAGTTACTCAATTCTGCCCTTGTAGCCATAGATAATACATAAACAAATGGAAGTGTCTGTGTTAAATTAAATTCAATTTACAGAAATAGGTGGCAGGTCAGATTGGGCCCTCAGGCCAAAGTTTGCCAACCCATGACCTAAACTTCAAACCCAGGAGATTAAACAGGAAACACAAAGAAAGGAGCATGAAAATAGTAAAGATAGGAGTAGAAACTAATGAAACAGGCCAGGTACGGTGGCTCACACCTGTAGTCCCAGCAATTTGGGAGGCTGGGCAGGCAGATCACTTGAGGTCAGGAGTTCGAGACCAGCCTGGTCAACAGGGTAAAAAATTAGCCAGGCATGGTAGTGCATGCCTGTAGTCCCAGCTACTTGGGAGGCTGAGGCACATGAATCCCCTGTATCATTTCTGATTGTGTTTATTGGAATTTTCTCTCTTCTCTTCTTTATTAGTCTTGCTAGTGGTCTATTTTATTGACTTTTTTATTTTTTATTTTCAAAATCCAGCTCCTGGATTTGTTGATTTTTTTGAAGGGTTTTTCATGTCTATCTCCTTCAGTTTCACATTGAGCTTGGCTATTTCTTGTCTTCTGCTAGCTCTGGGGTTTGTTTCCTCTTGGTTCTCTAGTTCTTTTAGTTGTAATGTTAGGGTGTTGATTTGAGATCTTTCTAGCTTTTTGATGGGGCATTTAGTGCTATAAATTTCTCTCTTAACACTGCTTTTGCTGCACCCCAGAGATTCTGGTACATTGTCTCTTTGTTCCTATTGGTTTCAAAGAACTTCCTGATTTCTGATTTAATTTCATTACACACGCAGGAGTCATTCAGGAGCAGGTTGTTCAATTTCCGTGTAGTCGTGTGGTTTTGAGTGGGCTTCTTAATCTTGAGTTCTCATTTGATTGCACTGTGGTCTGAGAGACTGTTATTATTTCAGTTCTTTTTGCATTTGATGAGGAGTGTTTTACTTCCAATTATGTGATCAATTTTAGATTAAGTGCCATGTGACACCAAAAAAATGTATATTCTGTTGTTTTGGGGTGGAGAGTTCTGTAGATGTCTATCAGGTCCACTTGGTCTAGAGCTGAGTTCAAATCTTGAATATGTTTGTAAATTTTCTGTCTTGACAATCTGTCTAATATTGACAGTGGGGTATTAAAGTTTCCCACTATTATTGTGTGGGGGTGTAAGTCTCTTTGTAGGTTTTTAAGAACTTGTTTTATGAATCTAGGTGCTCCCGTATTGGGTACATGTATATTTCGGGTAGTTAGCTCTTCTGTTGAATAGATCCCTTTACCATTATGTAATGCCCTTCTTTGTTTTTTTGACCTTCGTTGGTTTAAAGTTTATTTTGTCAGAAACTACAATTGCAACCCCTGTCTTTTTTTTTTTCTGCTTTCCATTTGCTTTGTAAATTTTCCTCCATCCCTCAACTTTGAGTCTATGTGCATCTTTGCACATAAGATATGTCTCTTAAATACAGCATACCGAATGGCTCTTGGCTTTGTATTCAGCTTGCCATTCTGTGTCTTTTAATTGGGGCATTTAGCTCATTTACATTTAAGGTTAATGTTTTTATGTGTGAATTTGAACCTGTCATCATGATACTGGCTAGTTAATTTTGCAGACTTGTCAATGTAGTTGTTTCATCATGTCACTGGTCTGTGTACTTCAGTGTGTTTTTGCAGGTGATTTTCCTATCCATGTTTAGTGCTTCCTTCAGGAGCTCTTGCAAGGCAGACCTGGTGGTGATGAAATCCCTTAGCATTTTCTTGTCTCAAAAAGATTTTATTTCTCCTTTGCTTATGAAGATTAGTTTGGTCTGATATGAAATTCTGGGTTGGCATTTCTTTTCTTTAAGAATGTTGAATATTGGCCCCCAGTCTTATCTGGCTTGTAAAGTTTATGCTGAGAGGTCCACTGTTAGTCTGATGGGCTTCCCTTTGTACGTGACCTGGCCTTTCTCTCTGGCTGCCCTTAACACTTTTTCCTTCATTTCAACCTTGGAGAACCTGATAATTATGTGCCTTGGGGTAGAACTTTTTGTGGAGTATCTTATTGGGGTTCTCTGGATTTCCTGAGTTTGAATATTGGCTTGTCTTTCTAGGTTGGGGAAGTTCTCCTGGATGATATCCTGAAGTGTGTTTTCCAACTTGGTTCCATTGTCCCCAACTGTTTCCGGTACTCCAGTCATAGTTTCAGTCTTTTTACATAGTCCCATAGTTCTCATAGGTTTTGCTTGTTCCTTTTCATGCTTCATTCTCTAATTTTGTCTGCCTGCCTTATTTCAGCACGATAGTCTTCAAGGTCTGATATCTTCTCTTCTACTTGGTTGCTTTGGCTACTGATACTTGTGTTTGCATCATGAAGTTCTTGTGCTGTGTTTTTCAGTTTCATCAGATCGTTTATGTTCCTTTCTATACTGGTTATTTTAGTTAATACCTCCTGTAATCTTTTATCATGGTTCTTAACTTCTTGTATTGGGTTAGAACATAATCCTTTGGCTCAGTGAAATTAATTATTACCCACTTTCAGAAACCTACTTCTGTCAGTTAATCAGTCTCAGCTTCAGCCCTGTTCTGTGCCCTTACTGGAGAAGGGTTGAGATCGTTTGGAACAAAAGAGGCATTCTGGCTTTTGAAATTTTCAGTGTTTTTGCATTGGTTTTTCCTCATCTTCATGGTTTTGTCTACCTGTGATCTTTGAGGCTGTTGACCTTTGGATGTGGTTTTTGTGGGGTCTTTTGTGTTGATGTTGTGGTTGTTGTTGTTACTTTCTGTTTGTTTATGTTCTAACAGGCCTCTCTTCTGCAGGTCTGCTGCAGTTTGCTGGGGGTCCACTCCAGACCCTGTTCACCTGGGTATCACCAGTGGAGGCTGCAGAACAGCAAAGATTGCTGTCTGCTCCTTCCTCCAGAAGCTTCTTCCCAGAGTGGCATCGACCTGATTGATGTCAGCCAGAACTCTCCTGCATGAGGTGTCTGGAGACCCCTGATGAAGGTCTAACCCAGTCAAGAAGCACAGGATTGAATCGGGGACCTGCTTAGGGAGGCAGACTGACTGTGTCTTAACAAAGCTGGTGTGCTGTACTGGAGGAGTAGCCCTCATTGGGATCAGGTGGTCTCTTCAGAACCAGTAGGCAGGAAAGATTAAGTCTGCTGAACCTGAGACCATGGCTGCCCCTCCCACCAGGTGCTCTGTCCCAGGGAGATAAGAGTTCTGTCTGTAAACCCCTGACTGTAGCTGCTGGAATTCCTGCAGGGATCCCCTGCCTGGTGAGGAGGGATGGCTTCGGGTCCCACATAGGAAGCAGTCTGGCCATGATCTGCAACAGCCACTTTGCTGTGTTATGGGGGAGTTCCGCCCAATCCAAACCTCCTAGTCTCCTTAGCACTGTCAGGGAAAAACCTCCAACTAAAGCCTCAGTAATGATGGTCGCGCCTCCCCTGGGAAATGAGTTGTCACAGGCGGACTCCAGACTGCTCTGACGTCAGCAAGGATTACAAGCCAGTGGATTTTAGCCTGTGGGGCTCCGTGGAATTGGGACCGTCTGAGCGAGACCACTTGACTCCCTGGCTACAGCCCCCTTTCCACTGAAGTGGACATTTCTCCTACCTCACTGGAGTTCTGGGTGCTGCGGGAGTATGTAAAAACTCCTCGGCTGAGCGCCCTGATTCATGCGTGTAATCAAAGCACTTTGGGAGGCCGAGGCCGGTGGATCACAAGGTCAGGAGATCCAGACCATCCTGGCTAACAAGGTGAAACCCCGTCTCCACTAAAAATACAAAAATTAGCCAGGCGTGGTGGCGGGCACCTGTAGTCCCAGCTATTCAGGAGACTGAGGCAGGAGAATGATGTGAACCAGGGAGGCAGACTTGCAGTGAGCCAAGATTGCACCACTGCACTCCAGCCTGGGCAACAGAGCGAAACTCCATCTCAAAAAAACAAAAACAAAAACAAAAACGCCTGCAGCTCAGCACCTGCCCAAACAGCTGCCAACAAAAGCAGCTGTCACTGGTCTGCCCAGTATTGTGTTTGAGACCCAGTTTTGTGTTTGAGGCCCTGCTGAGATAGGCTCCTGAGGGCATCTCCTGATCTGCGGATTGCAAAAATCTGTGGGAAAAGCTTAGTACCCTTGGTGGGTAGCACTGTCCCTTACCACTTCCCTTGGCTGGAGAGCGAGGTCCCCCTGCCCTGTGCAGTTCCTGGGTGAAGCAATACCCTGCTTCTTCTTGCTCTCTGTGGGTCATGCCAACCATCTAGTCAGTCCCAATGAGATGAACTGGGTATCAGTTTCCAACTCAGTTGGAAATGCAGAAATCAGCCACCTTCCTCCTTCCTCTCACCAGCAGCTGCAGACCAGAGCTGCTTCTAGTCGGCCAACTTGGCCCCTCCCCACAGAGGTAAGTTTAATAAGTCTTCTAAATTTGTCCTTGCCATAATGATCAGTGATGATCTTTTTTTTTTTTTTTTAATTATACTTTAAGTTCTAGGGTACATGTGCACAACGTGCAAGTTTGTTACATATATATACATGTGCCATGATGGTGTGCTGCACCCATTAACTCATCATTTACATTAGGTATGTCTCCTAATGCTATCTCTCCCCCCTACCCCCTCCCCACAATAGGACCCAGTGTGTGATGCTCCCCTTCCTGTGTCCAAGTGATCTCATTGTTCAATTCCCACCTATGACTGAGAACATGCGGTATGTGGTTTTCCGTTCTTGTGATAGTTTGCTGAGAATGATGGTGTCAAGCTGCATCCATGTCCCTACAAAGGACACGAACTCATCCTTTTTTATGGCTGCATAGTATTCCATGGTGTATATGTGCCACATTTTCTTAATCCAGTCTGCCACTGATGGACATTTGGGTTGATTCCAAGTCTTTGCTGTTGTAAATAGTGCCACAATAAACATACGTGTGCATGTGTCTTTATAGCAACATGACTTATAATCCTTTGGGTATATCCCCAGTAATGGGATGGCTGGGTCAAATGGTATTTCTAGTTCTAGATCCTTGAGGAATCACCACACTGTTTTCCACAATGGTTGAACTAGTTTACAATCCCACCAACAGTGTAAAAGTGTTCCTATTTCTCCACATCCTCTCTAGCACCTGTTGTTTCCTGATTTTTTTTAATGATTGCCATTCTAACTGGTGTGAGATGGTATCTCATTGTAGTTTTGATTTGCATTTCTCTGATGGCGAGTGATGATGATGATCTGTCTTTTATTTATTTATTTATTTATTTATTTATTTATTTATTATTTTTTGGGGGGGGGGGATGGAGTCTTGCTCCGTAGCCCAGGCTGGAGTGCAGTGGCCGGATCTCAGCTCACTGCAAGCTCCGCCTCCCAGGTTTACGCCATTCTCCTGCCTCAGCCTCCCGAGTAGCTGGGACTACAGGCGCCCGCCACCTTGCCCAGCTAGATTTTTTGTAATTTTTTAGTAGAGACGGGGTTTCACCGTGTTAGCCAGGATGGTCTCGATCTCCTGACCTCGTGATCTGCCCGACTCGGCCTCCCAAAGTGCTGGGATTACAGGCTTGAGCCACCACGCCCGGCCGATGATCTGTCTTTTAATAACTTAAATGCTTTCCAGATTTCAAGACTCTCACCCACATCAAAAATAAAATTATATATCTGCTGTATTACCAGGTTTTTAGAATGTTGTACTTTATCCTCTAATTATAGGTCAAATAACTAAGGTAGAAAGGAGTAAAGCAACTTCCATGTATGTAGTGAGGATGTTGGGGGATCTGGGAATAAAATTCTGCCTTGGGATTCCCAAGAGGTTGATGATTATGATTTTTGTACTCTTAGAAACAAACTAAAATGACATTCTGTTTTGTTCCTCTGCTTACCGTAATCAATTCTCTAAACTACAAAATCTCTGCTTATCGAGATAACTTGGATTGTCAATTTGTTGAGCTCAGCAAATGCATTTCCTGAGCCCTTGTGAGTAAAGCTCTGTGCTGGTTACACTGGGTATCTGTGCCCAGCTCAGCCTGGGTTGTGAGAAAACCAATAGCCAACACCCACAGGCTTATTCTGGTAAAAGGGAGATGATAACAAATGGTGGGTTTTTTTCTTTTCTTTCTTTTTTTTTTTTTTTTTGAGATAGTGTCTTGCCATGTTGCCCAGGCTGGTCTCGAACTCCTGGGCTCAGGCAGTCTTCCCTCCTTGGCCTCCCACAGTGCTGGGATTACAGCGTGAGCCACCACACCTGGCCTTGTGATGGTGGTTCTGATACGGCTGGGCTTTCAACCTCCCAAGGATTCTGATCAAACAACCTCAGGAGAATCTTCTGCAGAGAGTGCCCAGCTGCCAACTGTCATAGTTGAGTGTCACAGAGTGGCATGGGTCTCCTCCCTCTGTTTCATTTCACAGATTACACGTTGTTAGTAGGAACATCAGCAGAAGGAGCATGAGGATGTTCCTTCTAATGATTAGAAAAGATATTATAATGCTGCTGGGTGGGCTGTCGATTTTAAAAAAGTGATCAAGGGCCTTCTCAGAAAGTGATTTTAGGAACTATAATGCATAGATGGGATCAATTATAGTGTAAGAAGTGAAAAATTATTGCACTGAACAGCATCTAACAGCTTCTGGAGAAAACATATTTCCCAACTGACCCTAATGATGGACTTAAATACCAAAAAGAGAACCACTAACTTCCATTATCTTGCAGAAACAGGAGAACCTTAATACACTTAAAACTGGAAAAAATGTGTGTGCCTCTAGGGCCATGCAGTGAAACAGATTGCATGGTAGGTGACATAGGCAGGGGCAGAATGGAGTTTGACAATGGCCATAAGATGATGAAAAAATTATTTGGGGCCTTGAAGCAGCAGGTGAACTGGCTTAGAGGAACATTGCACAGTTGTAGAAAAACAACTTTTGCAAAATTTTCCTCCACTCAGTGGGCACTACATATTTATTCTAGGATCTGCATTCATTCTTTCACAGACTATCTACTTATTGGCTTGGGCCTACAATGACTTTTCTGAGAGAGGTGAGGGATTAGCACAATAGCACACACACATCTGAAAGAAATAGTGAATTTCTAATTTTCAGATTTTAGTCTCTGACCTAACCAAAGAATTGACCATTATAGATTTTAACTATTAATAATATTAATGATGCTCACAAATATGAAGATTTAGGCACATCTTATGATAATAAGATATGCTTTCTAAAAAAAGAAATGTTAGAACTGTAGTCCAGGGATGTTAATAAAAGTGGCAAATAACATTACATCCTCTTTAAAAAAAAACAAAAAAAACAAAAAAAAAGATGAGGTCTCACTGTGTTGCCCAGGCTTGTCTTAAACTACTGAACTCCAGTGATCCTCCCACCTCAGCCTCCCAAAGTACTGGAATCACAAGCTTGAGCCATCACCTTCGGCCCATATCATCTGAACATCCAACAGGAAACAGGTAAAAGAAGGAAGAAGGCTGACAACCCAGTGTACAGATTCATATGTATTATATACAAACTGTTGATTGATTATAAATCAGTGGAATTAAATCTATGTTTGTACTGGCTCTTGGGTTCTGTCATAGAGGCAGAACATTGAGAAATAAAAAACTGGAGTATAAGATAAATTCATTTAAGTAACTAGACTTTAGTAAACCACAGACAAACATTTAAGAAACCACCTTTAAAGCTGTTTGTGAGCCATGTTTCAGCCTATCAAGTTTGAACTATAGGAGAGATACATAATGACAAATGAATGCTTTTGTTTTTTGTGACACAGTCAACTGACCCACTGGGAACGTGACCTTGTGAGTCACCCAGGTGAGCAAACTTGACATGATTGGATATAAACCTAGGTCAATAACTAAAGAGGTACTCAAATGTGCTACACATGTCAACTGTGACATAACAAACTGAAGGCCATTCATTCTCCCTTGAGGGAATGAAGCTGTTACAGCAGGGGACTGCAGAATCAGGGTCCTGATGCTCACATACCGAAGTGAGTGGGCTCCTACTTCAGATGTGTAATACGATCTACTGTCTCCTAAGGCTGAGTATCCCACAAAGAAATCCCCTCAGCCCAACATTATTAGTTATTTTAAAGCTTTTGGTCTCATTTTATTTATTTTTTATTTTTTTATTTTATTTTTATTTTTTTTTTTGAGACGGAGTCTCGCTGTGTCACCCAGGCTGGAGTGCAGTGGCGCCATCTCGGCTCACTGCAAGCTCCGCCTCCCGGGTTTACGCCATTCTCCTGCCTCAGCCTCCGAGTAGCTGGGACTACAGGCGCCCGCCACCACGCCCGGCTAGTTTTTTGTATTTTTAGTAGAGACGGGGTTTCACCATGTTAGCCAGGATGGTCTCGATCTCCTGACTTCGTGATCCACCCGCCTCGGCCTCCCAAAGTACTGGGATTGCAGGCTTGAGCCACCGCGCCCGGCCTTGGTCTCATTTTATAATAGATCACACCAGAAATAAGAATAGTCAGGATCCGGTACAAACTCATGATAACTTGATAGATACATCATTGAAGACCATCACAAAGTCCCTGATACTACATATACTACATAATGCTGGGATAAATTATTGAATACTAAATTTTAAAAAAGGGATAACATTGCAGAAACAGACAGGCACATGGGAAGTCTCATCAACTGCATGAGCACTCTTAAGGAAAACCTATTGATGAACATAACAGAACATTTCACATGCATTGGTCCACAAGGTACACACTCTGCCCAGCCTCAAAACTTAATATAGATTGGGACATTCCTCTTCCTTGGGCTGATGATAAAGCTCCAAGTAAAATGAAAAAGATTCTTTTCACCTGGTAAATACGCAGGACCCCCCCCTCCCCCGCCTGCAAAGATGTTGTCACTGCCAAATGTAACTTCAATTTGAAAAGCATTTGTTTCTAGCAGGATACAAGATCAATATACAAAAATCAATTCTATTTTATGTAATTCCAATGCACAATTGAAATGTAAAAAGCAATACCACTTCCAATAGTGTCAAATGTATAAAATACATAGAGATAAATCTGACTGAAAATTACAAAATGTTTCACAGAGAACATAATGAATACCTAAAAACTAGAGATAAATTCTTTGTTCGTGGGTCAAGAGACTTAATATTGTTGAAATGTAAATTTTCCCCAATTTGATCTATAAATTCAATGCAATTCCGCTCAAAATCTCAGTGAGCATCTTTGGTAGAAAGTGATCAGCTGACTCCAAAATTAATATGAACTAGCATAATCAAAATGCTAGTAAAATGAAGAACAAACTTGGAGGACTAGCTCTACCTGATTTGAAGAATTATTATAAAGTTATAGTAATCAAAACAGAATGGTACTGGGATATGATCTCACGCCTGTAGTCCTAGTACTTTGGGAGGCTGAGGCAATCCCTCTATGTGGAT